AGGCTTCCGCATGAAAAGGATCGATAGGCGGAGGGTGGCTTTCTGTGCTGATTGAAGGTGGCGGAGGCGGGAAGAGCTGATCGTAAAAGACCAATTTGGTGTGGCATAAATGAGGTGCGACTTGACTAGCAATTTGAATTTTATCGCCAAATTCGCTTTTGCGCAGCCCCATGATATGTCCACTAGAGCCTTGAGTACCTTGGTGCAACGCCTCACTTCATCTGCGACCTCCCTGACATGGCCCGCGAACGTTAAGGGCGCATCGAAACGGACGCCAAGGGCCTTGGTTTTGTGGACGAGCGGTAAAGACGCACCGTAGACGGTGATAGTCGGGTAACGGTTGAACTCTGTCGGGTCTTGCGTAAAACAAGTGATGGACGACTTGGCTGCCGAGATCGTCAGCCCGCGCTGGTTGAAGAAGTTTACGACATCAGGCATGAACTCGGAGAGGAGCTGCGCAGCCTGATCAATGTGATGGTGACGGGAGAAGATGGTAACGTCCCCCAACGTAGGAAGCTGATGAGTCGTGTTGGGTGACGGATAGGTCATGTGTGGCATGCACAGATGGGCTGTTTAGCTCTGTCAACCATTGCGCTCTCTCCGTTTTAGATGATAAACCGACCCGGACTGTCTATTGGCACACATCAGCATATACATGACGTAGATTAATACGCCTCACGCGCACATATTCGGCCCCTCTCACGTAAGTGGGAGGCTTGTTCTCTGGCTTCTTCTCCGCGTGGCCTCCACTTCACTCGTACGCATGCGGTATCCGAGTAACTGGCCCTCTTTGTATGTAATCCTGGGAAAGCAGGTGGCGTGTTTGGCACATGCAGATGGGCAGTTTAGTTCTGCCGGCCACTGCATCTAATACCCTCATCGTTTAACTGACCCAGACTGCACAGTTGATTGATGACAGGAGAAGAGCCACCGAAGGCGATTCAGTGTAAATTCTTCGCTATGAACAGTCGGACGCATTCAAATCTATCCTGAAGGTGCTAAAAGCCTGACCTGGAGGTTTGCCAATTGACAGGATAACTTGGTCCCCATAGGACTGTGATGGTTCGTCTCTGTGGTCCTCCCACTCCCTTGGAATCCGATTCATGCCCCTCTCTTTGTTCTGTACAATCCAAGTCCATTGTGTGTGTGTTTGCGGATTAGGCCCGTGGGGCACGCCTAGGTGCAGGCTCACGCCACGCCAGCAAGTCGCCCCTGATCCCCTTTCTGGTCTTTTTGACTCCGGGCTCACTGGGGTAAGGGAAGAGAGGGTGCGATATATGTAGCGAAATTCCACTAACACTA